AATTAAAAAATATTTTTATATGGTAAATACCTATAAAAAAACCTTTTTTTAAACATCTTTGTATGCAAAATACGTATTTATAAAAAGCACTATTTTATTTTAAGTACCTATTTATAATTCATAGTTATGTGAAAATGCATGAAATACACTTAAGTAAAATACATTATTATACCCATATATACCTTAAAAAACTTTTATAAAATATGTATTTATTAAGTACATAAAAATGTATACAAAGAGCAATTTCATAGTAAACGTATTTTTATATATTTATGTATACAAACACATTTTTATACAAACACGTTTTTTATAAAAAAAAATGTATACAAACACGTATTTATACAAACAGATTTGTATATAAACATATTTTTATACATAAATGTATACAAATAGGTTTACTATGAAATATGTGTTTGTATACATTATTATTTTATAAAAAACATGTTTGTATAAATTTTTATAATAAAAACATGTTTATATATATATATATATATATATATATATATATATATATATATATATATATATATATATATATATATATATTTTACAAGAACGTGTTTGTATACAAATGCATTTACTATAAAATAGATGTTTATATACATTTTTTTTTATGTAAAATACATGTTTGTATATATTTTTTTATAAAAGTAGATTTGTATATAGTTCTGTATTTATATGCACACAAAATGTTTATATACTTAATAAATACATATTTTATAAAAAATTTTACAGGTATATATGAGTATAATAATGTATTTTACATAAGTGTATTTCACACATTTCCACTTAACTAAGTTTTTATAACCAGGCATGTAAAATAAAACAATGTGTTTATAAATACATATTTTGCCTACAAACATGTTTTAAGAAAAATGTTTTTATATAGGAATTTTGCATATAAAAACGTTTTTAAAAAAATTAATATATAGAAAAAAGAAGGTTATGTGAAAAATATGTTATTTTTGTATAAATAGGATTTTTTTAAAGAGAATATATAAATATGAATTTATACAACAAACAAAATATATTTGATTTTTTTTTTGAAAAATAATGTAAAAAACTAAATTTATGATGAAATCGTAACGAAATTTAAAAATTTGGGATAATAGTGTAAATTTTGGACCAAATTTTTAATAAAAATTAAAATCTGGGTCAAAAGTATAATTTTTGAAAGTGGGACGACTTCTTGACCGTCTAAAATGGTCAAGTTGAATACAATTTCTGATTTTTGAGAATTAATTGATTAAAAAAACATGTAAGGACTAAATCGATTATGAAACCAAAATATAAGAATTTTTATATTGTTTTGGCAATAAATTTTATAAAATGATGAAATTTGGTGTTTTTAAGATGTTAACGGTTAATTACTTAAGTTATTGTTTGGTGGTGTTATAAAATGTCTTAACATTTAAAATTTTTGAGGTTAGGAACAATACCTAACTCCACCACTGTTCATGTAGTTACCACAACGGTTAGGCTTTTCACTTCCCGCTCCTTCGACCTCTGACTTTATCTTTCCTCACTGCTCCACTACCGACTGCTTCTTCTCCTTCTACTCCGGTTTCCACTGCTAACCGACTGCTTTTCTCCGATTTTCATCAGGATCCATCTCCATTAAACACCAGAAAAAGTTCTCTGTCAAATCCTCAACCTACCGTCCATGGTTTTCTCCAACGCTCACTGCTACTCAACATCTTTGTCGATGGCGGTGTCGACTACAGACGACGTTCGGTTCTCAGATTATAATCTGGTTGTTAGTCGATTGTGTATTTTATCACCAGCAACGTCAACCTTCTCAGTATTCTTCTAAAATTAGTAAAAACGTTCAGCATGACACCGCCTTTTTCAACGACGATCTGCGATTTCTAGGTAATTAGTCTTTGATTTTGGATTTGAACCAAGCTACTGTTCGATTCGATTTCGGTGTAATTTGTTTTCTGGTTTTACTTTTGAAGTCGCGAAGGTATTGGATTTGATTTTAGGGTTTTATTGAAGGCCTAATTTGTGGTTTTTAGTGTTGGATACTTATAATCACTTGTTCATGCTAATCTGTTGGTTGGTACTAAATTTGTAGGGCTATGTAATTTATTGTGTATATGTAAGGGGTTGGATTAGGGCTCCACTAATAGCAAACAAATAAGACAAAGGTTCGTTTTCACCCAGGAAGCTGGGATGGAACAAAGGTTTATTTTCTTCATTTGGAATTCCTTCTTCTCCTATTCTAAAAGGGCTCCGCGTGTGCACAACTGTTTTATTTCTACTCGGGATTACCACAGACAGCCCGTATGCATATCTTTAGATCTTGGTTTTAATTAATATGGATGAATGAATGGATGATATTAGATTGACAAAATTGCAAAAATGGTCCTGTAGTATGCAATTTTTTGGGGTTTTAGTCCAAACCCCGAGTTTTTTGGATTCATGGTTATTTTGGAGTGGTTTGTATGTGGAATTGGTCTCCGGACTTAACTTCCGTTAAGTTGTTGCTGTTAACCCCTTCATGTGCCTCCCACACAAGGGTATATTTGTCTTTTCACTTCTAAGGGACCATTTTTGCACCTGAAAAAAATATATCTCCCTTTTTGAAAAAAAATTAATACCTATTTATTTATTTTAATAATTAAAAATGACAAAATTGCAAAAATGGTCCCTGTGGTATGCATTTTTTGGGGGTTTTAGTCCAAACCACGACTTTTTTGGATTGGTGGTCCTTTTGAGCTAGTTTCGTTGCGTTTTTGGTCCCTCAGAAAACTAAAAAGACTAAAATGCCCTTCTGATACATTTTTTATGGGTTTTGCTATTTATTTTAAAATTTTATTAATAAAAATTATGGGGCCCACCTCTCTCTCTCTTTTTCTATCTCTCTCTATCTATCTCTCTCTCTCTCTCTCTCTTTCTCCAAAACACACACTTAACACTATCAAGAACACATATGCACAATCTCAAGAACACCTCCACCTCCATCTCTACCGTCCATCATTGTTCACCGCCACCACCATCCGCTGCCAACCACCTCCATCTCCTCCACCCTATCCCACATATCTCCTTGCTTAACTCGGTGAACAATTGATTTTCCAAGTTTGTTTCTAAAACTGAAATCGATTTTTGAATGTATAAAGTGCTTTTGGATAATGGGTTTTCAAACGCTTATTTGGTTGTTGTTCTTCAAGGAAGGGCTGCATAATCTGTCCATCTCCATCTCTCAAGAAACTAGTAATTGAAACTGAAAACATCAACACAATTGTCTCCAAAATCCGACCAATCCCATCTCAATCCTCACATTTGTGCTTCACTGCCTCCCAAATCTAGCCCAGAATCCTCGCCGTCGGCACCTCAATGGTCGTCGCCTATTTGATGTTTAAAAACCGGCAGTCTAAGGTTCTTTTTAGAACCAATATAGACGCTCGTTACACCTATCCCTTGCTTTCTCAAGGTGTTTGCTTTGAGCCTTCAATCGATGGAGAATTGTATTAAATGGGTTCTTACAGGTGAAGAATTTTGAATGGGATTGAGTTTTAGTGCTTCAATTAGAGGTTGTGAATGGGATTGAGTTTGAGCCTTCAACACTGGTGCCTTACTTTATCGATCTTAATTAATCTTTATTGTCACCTCCAGAGAACAATCTTCAAAATCCATGACCAAGGTCCACTGAAAATGAAATCGAGATTTGTAGATCTGTAAGTGAAAGAAACCGAGATTGGGGGTTGGTTTCTTGCTGCTATGAAGATGGTGACAATGGTTGTATGGAGAAGATGGTGTGTCGATGTAGTTGTATGGAGAATATGGTGGGTCGATTACCACTGGTCCAGGTCGTAAGGGCGAAACAGGGGAACCCATATGGAGTTCATGAAATCTGGGTTTGTTGGTATTACCAGCATCGAATGTAACTGATTTTTGGGCTATAGCGGTTGTTGTAGATGATAACTTGGTGGGTGGATGTGGAATTTTGATTAAGAAGGAAGAGATGAAGAAGATGAAGTGTTCATCTTGGGTAAAAAGAAAAAGGAGAAGGAGGTGGGGGTATACGGAGAGAGAGAGAGAGAGAGAGAGAGAGAGAGAGAGAGAGAGAGAGAGATTTATTTTTTTAATTAGTTAAATAAATAATTAAATAAGTATTTAGATTTAAAAATGAAAGAAATGAAAAATAAATGAAAAATAAATAACCCAAGGGTATTACAGTCATTTAACTATTCACAGTGACAAAAAACGCAATGAAACTAGCTCAAAAAGACCATCAATCCAAAAAAGTTGTGGTTTGGACTAGAACCCCAAAAAAATGCATACCACAGGAACCATTTTTGCAATTTTGTCTTAAAAATAAAAGAGGTTTCTCTCTCCTCTCTCTCTCGCTCTCGCTCTCCCCTTGACCACCATTGAAGCTACCACACCATTCAAGCTACCACCAAACATCTTTCATTTTATTTTCCTTTAATATGAGACGAATTGAAAATAAAAGAGAACATGAGGTATCAATTCAAGTCCTATATATACATATGAATATAGAAACCCATTCGAAGCATCGAACCCCTCTCTATAAAAATCGGAAGGTGCCTTTTACTCCCACAGATCCACTACAATCCCTTCCGTCAGCAACCCTAAATCAGATTTGAGTAAAAAGCTTCATGAATTGATTACAGAACAAGAGGAAAAATGTACTCCTTATATAGACCAACCTTCCCCTTCCTTCTTCTTCACTTACAACCAAGAACCACCGCTGCCGGCCACTAGAGCAGCTCCCTCCTCCCCTCCCCGCTGTCATGGTAAAAACCCACCACCACCGTGTTTATTTTGTCGAGTACAGCAGCCCCAAACATCTCCGACCCTTACTCCTTCCTCCCCTCGTCTTTCACACGTCGACCTCGCTAGAAGAAATAAAAGAAGCAGCGGGAGTCGCCGGAGCGAGCACCACCGGCTGCCACTGTCGTTCTCAGCCCACTCTGCCATCCCCCTGTCGTGACCCACTGCTTCGACCGCCTTCCTTCTTTCCTTGACGAGCGATGCCAGACGAACCCATCAGAAGAGGAGGAGGTGGCGGAGCCACCTGCCGCTGCTACCCACTTGGGTTCAAGGTGTTTGTTGCTATAGAGAAGGGTGGGAGCGGAGATGGCTACCTCACTGTAGGAGTCGGGGTAGAAACAGCAACAAAGTGGCGTCAGGTAGTGGCTGTGGGCGGCGATGGCGGCTCCGACGGACTCCTGCTGTTTCGTTTCGGGCTTCTGGTTGACGGAACTGCGAGTGGAGATGAAAGTTCGATTTGCTACATTTGATTTTCGATTTGTTGGGTTTTCACAAAATCATAACAGGTTCCAAAATCATAATAGGTTCAAAATCGAAACAGCCACCGACTTTATCTTCCATGGGTTAAAGTTGCTATTAATTACCTGGGTTTTCTCATAGGCTTCATTTTTGGGTTTTCGATATGCTATGTCCGCCATTCGTCTTCTGGGTTTACACAAATGAAGATGGAGGAAGTTGCAGACCTCTTTTATTTTTTAATTATTAAAGAAAATAAAATAAATATGTATTAATATTTTTTTTTTAAAAAGATGATATATTTTTTCCAGGTGCAAAAATTATCCCTTAGAAGTGAAAAGACAAATATACCCTCATGTGGTAGGCACATGAGGGGGTTAACAGCAACAACTTAACGGAAGTTAAGTACGAGAACCAATTCCACATACAAACCACTCCAAAAGGACCATGAATCCAAAAAATTCGGGGTGTGGACTAAAACCCCAAAAATTTGCATACGACAGGGACCATTTTTGCAATTTTTTCTATTAGATATTGGTGTTAATGTTTTTTTTAAAAATGATAAACTCAAAGAAATTACTTTTTTCATGACATTTATTAAAATTTCAACAGGAATATCATATTTGTGAATTTGCTAATAAAATATTATTTTGTTGGAAGTATTAGGAAATTTGAGTTGCTAACAAACTAAGAAAATTTTGTTACTAAAGGCCCCAACAAATATAAGGTGTTTAAGTGAGGATGAGCCGAAAATATAGGGTAGTTCCGAACTTATAAGCGCAAAATGCGTTATGGAAACCCCTCTCCCCCAAACAAAAAGCAAACATGATCTTTTCACCTTCATTATCGATGGGTAGGGAATAGATTGATAGGACTACGATTAGACTACGAAAATTGAAGATATTTACATATTTTTTGAATTAAAATGCAATTAGTGTACGAATATTAGAATAAATAAGTATTTCTTAGTTTATCTATTCAAAATAAGAAATTTTTTAATGTGGTTATTATGTCCTCATTTTGGGTTTTTTGGATATTTTCGAAACAATACAATTTTTGAAACGGAGAAGCCAAGAAAGATGTTATAACTTCTTTGTAATTTTCCTCTAGCACTTTGCTAGAGGTGTTTTTATTTTATATCTATCCCTCCGTTCCAAAAAAAAAAAAAATCTTAGTTTGCTAGCAGCTGGGGTGAGCACGGTGCAACTCATGTTATTGGCCAAAACGGATCCGTTCCAAAAAAAAAATTATTAGTTTGCTAGCAGCTGGGGTGAGCACAGTGCGACTCAGGTTATTGGCCAAAACGAATCGCAAACACGATTATTACATTTTTTGATACCGAATGATATGGTTATTTTTGCGGTTCGGTTATGTGGTTTGTTTATACAGTTAGGTTTTATGCGTTTGCGGTTTAATTATTTTACTGCATAGATTTCGTGCGGATTTCAATACAGTTTTTGTGTGGCTTTTAACCGTGTGGATTTCATACATTTTTTGTGGTTTTAGCTGCAGAGACTATTAATATTAAGAGGGCCCATGCTATGCATGGGTTGGGATTTATGTCCATTTTGTTAATGGGCTGCTGTTATGTAGGAAAATAATTTGCATTTGGAAGTCGAACTGGGTTAAGGGTAAAAGCGTCATTTCCCTCTTGGTGCAGGATTACATTAGGATGAAGGGTAGAATGGACATTTCTGCAATACAGTGAACAGATCAGATCAGGATTAGATTGGAAAAACACAACTTTTGCAAAACTTTGCAATGAAAGCTATCTGTACCATGTGAAATACTGGAATAATAAGGCTTATTTACGAACTGAAAATATAGTAATCCTACATATAAGAAGATTGGGTTATTAATCATTCATAAGTTTAAAATCTTGAAAATAACCGTCTAAGGTATCAAATGTCCAAACCTCTCATTGTCATGGTTGAATCCGTTAGCAAACCTGGAATTAATAACAAATGCTGAATAATCATTTTTTAAAGAATTAAGAGCCATTCTAGATTTCAAGTTGCAAAATGATGTATCGATTCCTAAATAGCAGTTACTATTGGAGAAGATGAAGTTAGTCAGCGTTGACTTGTTGACTATGTTTGACCTTTGTTAGAGAGTTAGTTGTTTGTTAACTATTGTTTAGTTAGTTGATCAGAGTTAAGTTAATTGGTTGTTTACTTGATGTATATAGTTTTGTACAATCAATTAAGTACAATCAATCTCTGATCAACTGTTTTTTGCACATCAGAAGGGAAGATTCGAAATTGGAAGAGGTTACTTAGCCGCACAAATTGATGATTCTGAAAAAGTTGATATGGGGGTGATGATGGATAGTGGCTGTCTTTTACCCTTGTAATTGTAAAATCCAGTTCACCACCCAAACATTTATTTAAGTGCAACACGTTGATGCCAATTAAAACAGAGGTAAGAAATGAAACAGGTGGTGTTTGATTTATTTTTTATTAAATGGCATGGATTATTGTTTTCTTTAATGACAATTGTTACATCTAACCTTTATAAAGTTTCGAAAAAATCAACTTTTCTCTTACGTTAGTTTTCATGTTTAATACATTTTTTTACAGCAAACTTTTATAGAAAGCCTTATAAACATACCTTCCTAAATTGTAAAAACTATAAAAGAGTTATAGGAAAAGTTTGATAAGTTTGTATAAAAATACAATAAAAACCTTAAAAAAGGTTATAACTAAAAGATCAGTTGTCCAAAAAACTTATAATTTTGTTTGTAAAAGAAGCTTAAAAAAGATTGTACAAGACCATATGATTCATTTTTCTACACAGAGAGATCAAAAGTGCCAAAAGTGCCAAATAAAGTCCTGACCAAAATACCTCTGTCATACCTTATTGTACTTCTTGTACCGTTGCTTTTTCTCCACACATAATTGGTAAAAGCATGGTCTGCACAAAAACAAAATTCAAGACTTACTAATCAAAGCTTAAGTTGATTAGGCTTACAAAGTGCATCAATTTCAGTATTATTCCCAATAGTAACCTGCTTTTGTATTTTATTACCAAGAAGCCTAATCACCTGAAACATAAATTTTTTATAAAAAGATTAAATTCTTCAAAAATATGATCAAAATGAATAACAATTGAAACATTTTAAAGATAAAATAACTAAAAGATAGACCCTAACACTTATTTGTTCATTCAATTCGACAATCAATAGATATAGCTATAACATTCATATATTATGTGGACGACAAAACTCTTATGATCCTACCAACTGTTGGTCAGATCACAAGAGTTTGAAACAGTTTGCACCAAATACTTTTTGAACCTTTACAGCTCTTTTTATTCCTCAATAAATCTGTTATCAAAGAAAAAGCCATAAATACATACATATTCAACTTATTTGAATGGAAGACAACATATGAAAAGAAAGAAAGAGAAGAAAAAGTAGATCAACTAACCCCCTCTTACGAACGGCCTCCATGGCTGTTGCTATTGTCGCCATGTAGACGATTTACTTCATCGAATATTGACTTTCTAAACTTGGATCCATAATCTCAATAACTTTACCCCTATCAGTCAAACGTGGCAGAGCCTGTTTCCACAAATCAAAACAAAACTCACAACGCATACTAATCTTACAAATCAAAATCTCATGTTGACAAATTGCAAAAAAAAAAAAAAAAAAAAATAATAATAATAATAATAATATATGAAACTTACCTAAGATACAAGAACAACTTCTCCAGGAGACCTCTTCATAGCAACAGGAACTCCACCAGTCAACAACTCCATATGGACAAACCCATAACTATACACATTTGATTTTCTGATCAAATGGCCACTCAAAGCATACCTTCAACAATAAGTTAACCAAATACTTTAATAAAAGGCAGGTTTTAATAACTTTTTATTATATATTGATAATAATTGTTAGTTGTTAGTTGTTACTTAGGTGCAACGTATCCTTGGGTGCCCAATACTCAAGTTGAAACATGAGCACCAGCTCTATAAGAGCCGAATTTGGCCAATCGAAAATCAGAAACTTTGGCATGAAAGGATTTATGAAGAAGGATGTTGCTGCTTTTGAAATTACTGTAAATTACATGAAGGCTCACATGCTGATGAAGGTACTCGAAAGTTGTTTGTCGAATTTATGATGATTGATGAAAACTGAATGTATCTTTTTTATCCAAATTAATATCATCAAATCAACAGAAGGGAAAAAGGATTTAAATCAAACTCAGTGGTTCAAGAAAGACTAATGTCATATCAACTCTGACCTGCCTTATCAAAAACAAAAACCAACCAAATTCAAAGCCAGATCCAAAATAAAACTATGAAACAATTATCACTTCACATTTCATAACATCTACACAGCTTCCACAAACTAAAATTGAAAACCTTTCAAAAGAACCAACACATAAGATAAGAAAGGAGAGGGAATTTATAACTTTCAAATCATGATTACAAATGCACTTAAATTTTGTAGCTAACAAACTAAGAGATTACTTTTTTCATGACATGATTTCTGATGAATAATTAATGCATTCCATAATGTATTACACTCGTAAAAAATTAAAATAAACTGAGAAATACCATTTTTGCATGTGATATTTACGAAAATGTCATTTTTCGGTGAAATTTTTACCAAGTATCAATTCTGTAGATGATATATGTGAAAATGATATTTCTTAGTGAATATTTCTCTGACTAATGACATTTCATAAATAACATATATGAAAATGGTCTACAAAAATGATATTTCCAGTGAAATTATCACTGAGATAAAATCCTTATTACTTATATTTTATTAAATATTTAGAAAATCAACAATAACATAATAACATGTACACATAAATCTACAAAGAAACAAAAATCTTAAAATAAACTTCTAATGTCTGGAAATGTAATATTTGAAACAAGATCTATTTGCAACAAGATCGGTGTTTAATAGTAAATATTAGGGTGCAAAGTACTCATTGGATGTGGCTTACCCTCTTTGGATGTGTAATGAGTTTAACATTTCCTATAAATAGGAAGTGAG